CAGCTGGAGGGCAAGCTCGACACATCAAATGGGAAGGAAGGAAAAGTGACGAGGCAAGAGGTGTCGTTCGCAAGACTGTCCCAAAAGGGCAAGACGGCGGGGCCGTGAACCCCATAAACCTCGAGGTGCATATGCATGCTTGTAAGCAGAATCAGACCCGAAGCCATGTCATGTAGATGCAATGAGGGGCTGTCTTGTCGCCGGCATCACCCTGCTCACACGTTTTGTCGTCGCAAGTTGTGGACGACGCAACGTTGGGCGAATGAGGCATAGGCCGCGAGGGCAGCCTTTGCCAAGCTCGCTCATGCTTTTGGTGGTCATCTGTCGTGAATTTCGCAAGCAAATGGCTTCCAGAGCAGGTAGCTGGATGTTGGGCGGCTTGGGTTTGGCCTGGGGCTATCCGAGCTTTCGACCCCGTTTCAGAGGCTTCTTCAGCGTTCGGTTGACGTTTGTTCCACCACCACCCGCATGGGCCTTTATCTGATGTCTGTGTTAGCTTAACCCCAAGTATTGCTTCTCTTCTTCGCGAACCTGGTCTGTTCGGAGATGCGAGTGGCTCATTGCATCCCTGTCTTACGGCGCCGTGCTATAAATATCCCTAGGATAGGTTTTACGAAGTTCTATCTAAACCGGATACATAGTAGAGCCTTACTACTTTTAGCCTAAGCCGAGACTAAGCAGGCCCTAAGCTTAATCATAGCCTAGTATTATAACTTGATAGCTTCTATAGGGGGAATACTATTAGAGGGTTAGGGTTACTAGTAGGAGAAGCTTAGTTAAGTTATAATTCTAGGGCAATATACTTATTATAATAAATATTATTAAGGATATCGTAGGAGGTATTAGGCAACGACTAAGGGTATTGCTTAATTATAGGATAAAGAAATAATAATAGATAAAAGGATAAGAGGAAAGGAGAGATAAAAGTAATTATATCTCGAGAAGGAGATATCGGATCGAGTAATAGATCGAAGATTCTAATAGCCCTTAATAAGAGCTATAAAATAATATAGGTTTCATTTAGATCGAAAGTAAATAAATAGAAAGGTTAATTAAGATAAAGGTTATAATTAATTAAGAAGAATACTTAAATTAATCTTAATAAAAATAAAGTATATCTTAGAAAGTATTTATTTATAATAATTAAGAATAAATAATTTAGATAGGAATTATTATATAAAGGGGATTTATAAGTATAATTAGAATTAGATAATTATTAAGACTTAAAAACCTAAAAAATAAGTCTAAGGGGTACCCTCTATATATAATAGATTAACCCTTAGTAGCTATATATAGATAAGGCGTGATACGAATAGCTAGGTGGAAGGGCCTGCCCTGTGGCCGTGCCTTGAGGCCGCCTGTGGCCTGGCACGTGGCCTGGCCTGTGGCCCTGCCTAAGGCCTAACTGCCTAGGGCACGTGGCCTGACTTGTAGGCCCGTGCCCACTTACCTATATATGCCTACGTGGCCTTCCAACCCAGATAGACCAATTCATCTATCTTACACCTACAGAACAGCTACCTAGCATCTGTTGTGTGTTCCTGGCGTGACGCCTGCCTGGTCCCCAAGACCCGACTCTATTACTAGCCACAATAGAGCCGTAGCCATTTCTGTGCGTATCAAGGCGCTTAGACTACCTCTAGACCTATAGGGAAGTAGAGTTAGATTTTAAGCTTTAGCTAATAGGGTATAAGAGAAGTTAATAGCTTATTATTATAGAATAGCTCTATAGAATATTATAAGAAGTATACTATTCTATAGCTATAGTTTTTCTCTTTTTAATAATATATATATTATTATAGTTTAGCTATTATTATAGTTACTAGAGTAGTTATAAAACTTTAACTCCTATAACTCCTATAACGTGCATGATAAGCAAGTGGGCCAAACAAGCAAGTGGGCCACCTGACGACGAAAACGCGACCTTCTTACGTTAACCATTAATTCTTCCACCAACAACGATGTCTCCGCCCTCACAAGAACGTCAATTACAGCTTGCTCTTCAGGCTATTCAAAATGACCCAGATCTCAGTATACGCGCTGCGACAAATATCTTTGGTGTTCCCCGAATGACCTTGACGCGTCGACTACGCGGTATTACTTCGCAACGCGACAGGATCCCCCTCAATCGAAATTTGACGGAGCTCGAGGAGTTAACGATTGTTCAATACATACTTGAGCTAAATTCCCGAGCATTTCCTCCCCGGCTTTGTGAGGTTGAAGATATGGCTAATCGACTGCTAGCCGACCGCGACGCGCCGAGTGTCGGGAAGCGCTGGGCCTCAAACTTCGTCAGGCGACAACCAGAGCTTAAGACGCGTTTCTTTCGCAGATATGACTATCAGAGAGCCCAATGCGAAGATCCCGAGGCAATTCGCGATTGGTTCGCGCTCGTAAAGAACACAATCGCCAAATACGGTATCGCGGAGCCTGATATCTATAACTTCGATGAGACTGGGTTTATGATGGGCGTTATCGGGTCCGGAATGGTCGTTACGAACGCCGAAAGACGTTCTAATACGAAAATGGTCCAACCAGGAGGTCGGGAATGGGTGACAGTGATCCAAGGCGTTGGCGCAGACGGGTGGTGTGTCCCGCCGTTCATCATTATGGCGGGCAAAAATCACCTCTCAAGCTGGTACGAAGACAGCCCTCTACCTCACGACTGGGTAATCGCTACGACAGACAAAGGCTGGACAACAAATGAGAAAGGTCTAGAATGGATTCAGCATTTTGACAAGCATACCAAGCCCCGTCGGTCGGCCGGATATCGCCTCCTTATCCTAGATGGGCACCAAAGTCACCATTCCGTTGAGTTCGAGCTCTACTGCAAGGAAAACAACATCATTACGCTATGCATGCCTCCCCATTCATCTCACCTACTTCAACCTCTTGATGTTGGCTGTTTTGGCCCGCTAAAGCAGGCCTACGGTCGGCAAATTGAGAAGAAGATGAGGGCAGGTACAAGCCACATCACGAAGGAGGACTTCTTTCCCGCGTTTTTCGCAGCTTTCAAAGAAGCTATGACGGAAAGGAATATCAAGGGGGGGTTCAGAGGTGCTGGGCTTGTCCCAATGAGCCCCGAAATTGTGGTTTCAAAGCTGGATGTGAAGCTACGGACACCGACGCCCGTCGAGGGGGTCCCCGATACATCAGAACCTTGGGTCTCCCAAACGCCTCACAACCCGATTGAAGCTAGCTGTCAGTCAGAGTTTATTAAAGGTCGAATCGCCCGACACCAAGGAAGCTCTCCGACGTCGATTCTTAACGCTATAGACCACTTTACCAAGGGGACGCGTGGAATCATGCATCAACTCGCCCTATTGAAGTCGGAGAACCAGATCCTTCGAGACGAGAACGCGACACTCAGCAAGCGTCGGAGAGCTAAGAAAACACGTCTCAGGCAAGGAGGGAGTCTAACTCTAGGTGAGGGACAGGAGATACAAACCAATATCGAGGTTCAGGTCCAGATAAATGAGGAAACGCGTCAGAGAAGCAGTCGCCAACCAAGGGACGGGACGAAGAAACGGCGCTGCGGTGTCTGCGGCGAGCCTGGACATAATGCGCGGACTTGTCAGCTGGAGACGAGGGCTTCTGAAGAAGAGGATTTCAAGTAGTTTCAATTGATTTAAGGCGTTAGGGTTCACCGGGATGCTGCTGTCGTCGCATGGTCGTGGTCAGGTGGCCCACTTGCTTGTTTGGCCCACTTGCTTATCATGCACGTTAGGTAGTAATTAGGATAATAATATCTAGGATTTATAACTCTTAGGAGTATATAAACCACGGCTTACGTGATTAGTAAAGTAGATAGGTATATCTAACTCATATAGGTAGCGGTAACTTAGAGATAGTATTATTAATTAAGAATTAACTATTATAAGCCTTATATTATATACTCTACCTATTTAGAGCTCGCAAGCATAGCAGAAGCACTGGATTAGGGCTCATATAAGTAGTAAAGCCCTCTTAATAAAAATAGTGTTAAGATAGAAGATAAATGTATTGCCGATGCAATCCACGACTATTGATTTGGGTGCGTGTAATAGATAGAAACAATCGAAATAATGAGAACGATCTTCCCCTTGTATATTCGACTGCTGCTATACTCTGGTGAAGCCGGACATTGAGCTGTTCATGGGATGGTAGTATTGGGCGCTCTGCTCGGGTCGTTGATTGGGCAAAAATTCATGCTTGTTGGTGTTCAGTGAATTGGTGTTGGGTATGTTGGGACATAAGTCACAGGCGGTAGGCCTGAAGCGTGACACATTTGCAGGCGTGTGATCAAGCCGATCTGTCCATTGAGCGAAAACCGAAGTCGCTGTGATATGCCTAAGAATATACCTGTTGCTTCGAACAAGGATGGACTAGCTCTGGCGGTAGGACAGGAAGGAGTGTCTCGTCACTTGAACCAACCCGCCAATCACGAAGTAAACCAACCCTGAGTCATCTGCCCAATTGCCCCTTAGCTAGGGTTCGAAGCGCTGAACTGTAATAAACATGGGTATTGTTCGCGCCGACCCCGCTTGCATTCTTCCTTCTATCGCCCGATCTCATCGCCCATTTCTTCCTTGCCTGAACGCAACAGCGTGTCCGGATTCCAGCTGGTCGGGACTCTATATCTTACGAAACCGCTTTCCGACTATGCCTTTGTGGACGTGTGATTTTGAGAGCTGCCGCGGACCAGCTGTACGCACTCAAGGCGATTGCGTGCTTTGCGACCGCCACCTGTGCTCCAAACATCTTCAACCTGAGTTTCACAGGTGCCCCCTTTGGCAGGTTAGCTTGGTTCCTCACTTGGAATACTTGGACGCTAAGTCGTCAATTGCCAGGACGCGGATGCCTACGATCCTGCGGCCCAGGAGGCAGAAGGACGTGAGCTCACAAAGTTGGTTGGGATTATAAATGCCCATGCTCTTGCGGCTCGAGCCAGCCAGTTACGCCGAGGCATACCCTGCTCTATCCCCTCACTCCAGTATGAGAGAGCGGCGCGAAGCTCTGTGATGGGAGGTATGAACTATCACATTGAAGTTCGCTTTGATGACGGAATCATATGGATCGCCCGCATCCGCAGGTTCAATGCTACTTCGCCTCCAGCAGCATTACGAGATTACATCATCCAGAGTGAGGTTGCAACCCTGATGTTTCTTGGGCAGACCGGTGTGCCTGCTCCAAAAGTGTATGATTTCGCACTTGAGCACCCGGGCAATCCTGTGGGAGTTGGATTCATTTTGATGGAGAAGTTACCGGGCAAGTCTTTGAGATGGTCCCTTGCAACTCAGCAACAACGGAAGAAGGTCATGAGTCAGCTTGCGGATACGTTTGTGGAGCTTCAAAAATACCCTTTTCACCTTCTCGGTTCCCTCGATAGCCCGGCCGCATCTCACGTGGGCGCGTTTGCTCGAGAATCACTGACCGACTTGCTGCAATCCGAAATGCATATCGCTGGACCCTTCTCTTCTTTGGAAGATTATCACATGTCTTCACTCCGGCTCACCTTAGATTTGATTGTTCGAGAGGTGATGTACTCGCAGCAAGCAGTGGATGCCTACTTAATCCACCGATTTCTCATGGACTTGGTCCCACGCGTGTTGCCTCCGGTGCGGCATGACGAGAAATTCTAACTGAAGCACGCAGACGACAAGGGAGATCATATTCTGGTGGATGAGCAGTTCAACATTACCGGTATTATCGATTGGGAGTGGGCTCATACTGCGTCCCCTGCACATGCCTTTAACTCTCCCATCGCCTTCTTACCCGTTGCAGACTTCTACTGCGGCAAGAACAATCTCGGTGACAATGAGGTTGTGTTTGCGCATCTGCTTGAGGAAAAGGGTCGTCAAGATCTGGCCCAATTTGTTGGGAATGGCCGATTACAGCATAGATTCGCATTCTGTTGCGGATACGATCTCGCCGACTGGGACGGATTCCTAGGCCTCTTCCGAGGACTTCGAGACGCTGTAGGTGTGGACGATGGCTTGGAACGAAATGAGTGGAAAGCTGCCGCATTGCAGCGCTACAAGGACGATTCTGGCCTGCGGACGCTGTTAACCAGACAGCAGAGCGTCGTTGGTTTATGAGACGTAGACCGCCTATGGCGTATCCAGGGAGAAGATTTGTTGCGCAAAATCAAGATTAGAATGAATTGTAGGCGCCATTTTGTTAACATTCTTCTCGGGATTTCCATGAAGATTGTTGAGATGGAATATTTGGTGAGAGCCGTCGCTGATGCCCATGTGGAGTAGTTGCCTCGGTGTTCTCTTGTCTCGACTAAAACATCTACGGGACCCGCCCCCCAAAGTCACCTTTGACAACGGAGCTTGCGGAGCTGATTTGCAAGCTACGGGGGACACTAACCAACGCCAGGTTGGCGCCGGAAACCAGATCTCGGAGTGGGCTTGGGGGGTGGGGGCAAGGGCCATCGCTGGCAGCCGCCGTGGCCGCTTGAAAGACGTGTCTACATGGGGGACGTGGCCGGTCCCTTGGCCTTGGTTTATTGAACGGCACTTAATCTAAGGCTGCATGTGCAGCTTGGAACTCAATCGATGGCGTCTTGCCGCAAAAGGACGACATGATGCCCGTGATGGGTTAGAGCCGATTCACAGGCGATTTTAAGTGCCGCGTTTTCTGCTTGGGCCGCGCATGTCCTGTGTAGGTAGATGGAAATTAAAGCTGCGTTCAAGATGGCTGCAGGTGATGCTCTTTGCCTCATGTTTGACTGTATCCCTACACGGTGGTACAGGGTGAGGAACTTGGAGAAGATCGTCTCATAGAGCGGCCCGTATTCTCTGTTCTTCAGTAAGAAGAACGTCGCTGAAATAAGTCGCTGAAATAACATGACATGAGCGGTCGGCTTTTGTTACCTCGTTACACTACGTCGTGTCCATTTTGCATCGCAGCCAAACGTACCACGAATGCTCCCCTATACCGTTGTCGATGGCCGACTTTGGCAGCCCTTGCGAGGACATGTATGCTGCGTCCCACGCGCACAGAGATCCACGAGCAGGAAAGAACGAGCACAGAGAAACCGCAACTGCAGCGAGTGGTCAAAGGTGGTCAAATCACGGTGTACACAATACGCACGAACGGAGGCTCGGCCTACCGTTGACAAGAGAGATGCTCCAACTTGCTGAATCAGAATGCTTGCTTCATCTGCCTAAATGGCCTGCGAATGAGGAATAGAACACCAAATATGAAAAGAGCCACTGCCATCGCGCCTTCAGTTCCTTCTTCATTCTTCTTTAGCCGCCGGAACGAGTACGCCCCCATGGGGTTGTTTGCCTCACCCCCTTCGCATCCGATCGTCTGCTGCCCTACGTCAGGCTTGTTGCGATGACAAGAAGGCAGCCGGAGACGATCACAGAGAGAGATGTTGGAAAAGGTACAAGGCAGAGCATGTGCCGGTGCAGCTGGATTCTGTGTGGACTACTCGCCCTGGACCGACTCCAGGGTCTCCTATACCGAGATTGTCGGACGGACGAAACGTAGATTACCTCGAGTCATAAATGTCATCGTCATCCCGGGTGTTCCGGCTGCCCTGCGCGCCATGCATCGTCGTGTGTCCGACGGCGCTGTCCTGCCGGCCGACGTAGCTCTGCGTCGGATTGAAGCCCGGGACCGGCGGCGCGCCGCGCAGAGGCGCGGGCGCGGGGTCCTGGAAGGGGTCACCACCACCACCAGACTCAAACGTTCGGTCCTTCGGGGGCAGACCAGGCGGGGGCCCCGCCGGTGGCGCAAAGTCGCCTTGGCTGTCATCGTTGGAGCCGGCGAGGGGTTTGCGGGGTGGCTGCTGAGGTGCCGAGGTCGGTTGGGAGGGCAGCCACTGCTGCTCGTGCTGTTGAGGACGGGTGTCGAGGGGGAGAACGGGTGGTTGGCCGTTGGTCATCTCGGCAGAGAACGTGTTCTGCTGAGTGTGGCTCGGGGTGCTGTTGAGGCCGAGCTGCTTCCGCGCGTTGAGGACGCCTCGCTGGTGTTGGTGAAGAGCAGTCTGAAGCTGCTCGTTGGCGTCGATCAGGCTCTCCCTCGTGTCGTTGTCAGGAGCGGGGTCCTCGGCGAGCATGTAAAGAAGGTATGCTGCGCGTCGCGCTCTGGCAGCGGTCGGCAAACTCCTTGACGAGGTCGTTGTGAGAAGTTCCTGCGGCGGGGTGTTGTTGACGACTTGCGAGAGGAGTTTGGCGGAACTCCGGGCTTCTTCGAGGCGGCTCGCGAGCTCGGCCGGGCGCGGCAGCCTTCTGTTCGAGTGACTCCTCGCAAAGTAGTTGGAGTTGTGACCGCCTTCGTTGTACTGTGATGCCGTCATCTGCGGGGCAGAATGGGCGCCTTGGGGATACTGAAGGTGTCAGCTAGCGTCGCGTAGTGTCGTGATGAGGAGTGGTCATCGTCACTGCACATACCCTGAAGTTTCTCTCGCCACGCTGGAAGGCACGCTCCTTCTCCTTCTTCCACATGTAGACCAGATCCTTGACACCGTCATCGTTGGCCCTCGTCTGCTCGAAATCGTCCAAGGTCTCCATGAGGATCTGGCGCACGCTCGGGTCGCGGCCGTTTCTCAGCACATCCTTGACGACGTTGCAGAACTTAAAGTCAAAGTTACGGGTGAAGCTGCGACCAGGGTTGTCGGCCAGGATGCGGATCAGCATGACGGCGTTGTACTGCCATGAGGCCTTTGGTGAGTACTTGTCCGTCAGATACTTGCGGATGTAGCGGGCGCATTGGGTCGCGGCGGTCGGAGAGGATTCGGCGGCATCGACGATGGGCGGGAGGAAGAGAACCTCGTCCCCCTGGCGGCGCGCCTATCAGCACACGTGGTTCCGGCGCACACGGGAATGAGCAATACGACAATGGATACATACCTGTCTGTTGGGGCCTCCAGACTCGCAGAACGCTTTCTGTTGGGTCGTCAGTGGATAGGCACAGGCGATAATAAGGTTGGCGAGGACGGCAACCGAGGTCTGCATACCACATTGCGAACAGCAATTCCTTCGGGAGTGTCTTCTTGTAGATCGTCTGGGATGGCGAGTCCCTGGGTTGTCGGTGCCTCGTTGGAAGGTCCGCTGCCGCTGCCGGTGTTGTTGTTGTTATTGCTGCTGTTGGCTGCTGAGCTTGTTCCCGTCCTCCGCTTGAGGGTGCCAACTATGCGGTTGACGCTGAGTCCCTTCTTGACGGATTTCATGATTGCGACCACAAGGGAGAGGTTGAGGTGAGGGTTTCGGTTGGGCGCAGGTCGCTTCAGATCCGGCCTCGGCGGGGTGGTGGATGACGCGGATGGGTCGGCTTCAAGCGGTATTGGGCTTTCAATGGCCAGTCGCCTTGGAAACGGGATATGGCTCTGGTTCGTTGGAGAGACGCGCAGCTGCAGGTCGATGGCGGCTGAGGCAAGGCAGTTGTAGATGCAGGTCCAGGTCTTGGGATGCCGGTCGGTGGATGCTATGTTCCAGTTCGGGTGGATGGATGATGGGAGTCAATGCTGAAGGGGTATCAAGTCGAGTTGCACGTTTGGCATTGGGTCATGCCGGGGTCTGGGTACCTGTAAGGTACTTTTGGGGGGTTGGTGGCCTTGCTTTGGGGGGGACGAGTGACGAAGGAGCATGGGCTCGTGAGCCGAGAGCGAGAAGGGGGCCGCGCGAGGGAGCTTGTGGTTTGGTCGGTACTTGTTAACGACCTCTGGGATGTCTTGACGATTGATGGCGCCTCTGTGTCGAAGATGTTTGGTTTTATCAGTGGTCGCGCCACATTCACTTGTGCACCTGTACCTGCACATGTACCTGCACCGGCATCAGTCTCGGTATATCTGTTTGGAGGCACAGAAGACAAGATGGTGCGACGACGCCCAAGTTGGCTTTGGGGGTCCTTTTCTTGCCTTTATACCAGGGTCCAAGCTACCTTGGCGATATGTGCCCGCGGGAGACGAGGAACGAAACAATAAGGGCCCTGTGGCCTTGCGCGCTCACTCCACAATTCACTTGAGCTTGGTCGATCTTTCGCGGCCTTGCTGTCGTGGGCCCTGTCAAGCTTCATTTCTTTGCTTGCTTGCTTGCTTGCCTTGCTTGCGCACCCACGCGCCCTGACCAGAGGCTTGAAGCATTAGCCCCCCCCTGTCCTCGTGGCCAATTTCTGCACGAGTTTTGCGCTACCTTCTTGCTCATCTCCGTCTGCTTTCAAGAAGAGCAAGCGGAGGGGCTGCCCTGTAGTGACGTCTCCCATGCCAAGCATCTGCCACGCGCCTGCACAGCCTCATCCACGCAAGCTCTCGAGCAGGTTGCCGCACCCACGACGGCAAAAAGGACACGCCATCTACTGGACAAATGTCCAGTTCCTCCCATCCAGTCGATCGAAAAAAAGGCCCGCCGACGTCGGCAGTTGGACCGACGCGTCTTCATCGGGCTTCCGTCCACGTCGAGCTTTCATCGTCCTACAGGCCTCCGTCTTAGAGCGGTGGTTCACCGTGCCACCCACTCTGTGTGTGTGTACCACAATCCCGATCAGCAACGCATCCCGCCCCTTTCGTCGTCCCTTGGAGGTCTCGGCCCCTCGCTCGCAAACATGGTGAAAGCTTGTGACACACCCCCTCGCCAACGCGCGGACATCATCTTCAACATGCCTTGCATGCCTCATCCCGCCGGCTCGCCTGCCCTGTGCGCCGCTGTGGCCCTGTGAACTTGTCTCCTTCTGTGTCTCTCAGAGGCTGCACCTTGAGCCAGAGCCAGAGTGAGAGACAGACAAACCGACAGTCTCCTGCATCGCGTCGCTTAGCGCCTGTTGGCGGGACACTCTGTGAAACCCAGTCCTTTCGCAAGAAACCCAGAGCCCCGCGCCAAACCGATGTTTCATCCCAAGGTTATCGCGACAGTTGCGATCTGAAACGAGCGAGCAGTGGAGGAGGAGACATCTATTCGTAGCGACCAACTGGTCGGTGGCCTATTCATCCCCCCACCCGTGATCACGGTGCCATAA